CAAGGGCGTTTTATCAAGTGTATTAAATACAGTTTGAGTTGCGACAGCGCACACCATCCCAACTATGTTCTAACCCCACACACCGTACTTTCTGGTTGCCTGTGGAATACAATTCCCTACGTCTCACCAAAACGTCTTCCTCTAGTTAGCGGGGCCTGGGACGATTGGATTACAATTAGCCTATCGTGTCACTGAATCGTTGATCCTCGTTCCGTTTACCGAATAAGGTGAACTCTCGTAATAGCATTTAAGCATATCCATGCTGAAATACGTTAATTAATCTGTGTTAAATATAAAACAAATGTTAATTTCTATATCAGAATTGTTATTCATCGTTGATTATAATTGTTTTTTTAATTAATATTCTCAGCTAATTATAGAGATTACATGATCAGATTGTAAGAGATTAAAGTGTAGAACATACAAATGCAATGTATGATTGAATTTGATAAAATATGGAGAAAAAAAAGACAGAAATAAAATCTATTGTCAGATAATAGTATCTAGTTAAAAGAAGGGACGAGGACTTTGATTTCGTAGTATCTTGATTATTATTCAATAATATGAGTAGTAATGGTAGTAGTATCAGAAGTAGTCGTAGTAGTAGTAGTAGTGGTGTGAGTAGTAGTGTGGTGTGTGCTACTTATACGAACGATATAAGTAGTATAAGAATGGACGTGAAAGAAGAAGTCTCACGGTCAGAAGAGGAAAACGGAAAGCAAATAGAGCAAAAACAAGAAATAAATAGAGCATCGACAGGAAGTAAAGGAAGCAACAGCAGGAATGGAAGAAGGCTGGAGCGTTGGAAGTCAGGACTCAAAGATGGTGTGCAAATAGAGTGTTCAATGTGATGTTTTCGTTTTTAATTGACTAAGAGTGTAAATTCGCCAAATACAATCTATCGAGCCTGCCTCAGTCTTCTCAGTAGTAGCAGTGTGAGTAGTAGCAGTAGTGATAGTACAGTCATTATTGAATTCAAATACCAGTCAGTCAGTCAGATTATCCATTAGAGATGACTAGTCAAGATGAATGTGAGTCGATTGATGAGAATAATAATGAAATTATTGAAATTTTTGCAAATTACTTAATTGATGATTACGTATTAGTGAATAATAATTCATTGAAGAAATAACAATTCATTGTATAAAAAAGTCAAAGTCATTTTTGTTGAAGTCATCTAAGAGAAACATGAATGAATCACAAGGTTATTCTGATGGCATTAAATTTAAAGTCAGCCAGTTCATCGAAATGCTTCTTACATCAACACTCACATCTCTCAGATACAGTCAGTAATTTTTGAAATTTCAATAATAAACAACCCGAATAAAAAAGAAAATGTGAAAAAGTAGAATTTGAGATAAAACTTCATTTGTACTGGTTGTGTTGAATAGTTCTATGGATATTTAAAAAAGCGAATAATTAGTCAGTCTGTTTGACATATGTACAGTAGTGATTCTATGCATCTCAACAAATAGACCAGAATTCGCCTTGTGAATTCCATTGCTAGTCATCTTTACGAATCACCAGTTAACTGTTTTAAAAAGTAAACAAATTAGAAATGTCTTTTTACAATAAACATTTATCTACTAAATTCAATTTATAAGAATGATATTACCATATTATAAACAAAATGTTCAATTTCCAGGGTGGATCAATAAATGTTTATATAACAAATTTGCTTCAATGTCGTACTTTATTATATTCAAGATATCAAATTCTATCAGTGAACAGACAGACAGACAGACAGATACAACGCAGAACTTCGTACATAAGTACATCAGTTCAAGTTGCCATACCACGTCAGCACAGAGACGTAACTGTCAGTTCAAATCCAAGAGTGATAGCGAATAATTAGAATTATTAGCAGCAATGGAGAAGATTAGGGAGCAAAGGTATGATTCGAAAAGTATAATTCAGTGAGATAAATTTAGAAGGAGAAAGATAAAGATTATGAGGAATTCAGAAAGTTAGAATTAAAAAGCACACAAAGAGTGGATGCACCTGCGCCATTACAAACGATTTTGAGCCATGTCGTTCAAGGTCTCTAACCATTGGTTACTTTAGTCTCGCCGAACCCAACCAGGTAGCCTACATCTATCAACATGACTCAGTCCATTACTGAACAGAATACTTCATTTAGAGTTATGAAAATAAGTGTTTGTTGCACATTAAAACTATCTATCAATCATTGTTAGACCACCACTATTAGAAACCTGGAAGAGCTTGACGGCCGTTACGTCCTGGTATGGGATTCATTAAAAGCGCGCATCCACGACTCCTGCTGCTTGCGGGATTCGAACCCAGTGCTTCCAGGTTTCTTAATGGTGGTCTAACTATGATCGATGGATGATTTCAATATGTAATGAAGAGAATACATCAGAACTATTTACTTTGAATTTCTGTCATGTTTATCATCATCATCAATAATGTACTCGTTTGCTTGAATAGCTTAATAACTATTGATTAGTTCAATCAGATATCCATATATATGTATATATGATTAAAAAATAAGAACGTGAATACTTGGTTCATACATTTTATGCATCATTGCACTCAAGTCAGTTTAAGTCAATAACAACATGGAACATTGTACATACATAGACCAGTTCAAGTTGCCGTATTACATTAGCACACAGAGACGCAGTTGTCACTTGAAATCTCATAGCAGTAGACGTAGCAGAAGTATTAGCTGTAATCGCAAAGATTAATGTTCGACGATATTATTCAAGAAGTAGAATCTAGTGAACGAAACTTGAAAAGAGAAAGATAAAGGTGATGGGGAACATAAAGATGATGAGAACATAAAGAATGAACTATTTCTGTTTAGAAATAAAAAGACAGTTGATCGGACAAATTATTAGCGTTCGCGTGGAAAACCTAACTTTACCAAACACAAGTAACAGTTTTTAACTAAGCATAATCATTGAGATTTGAAATCTCACAGCAGATTCACTTATGGACTGGGAAAATATTATAAATCATGAGTATTCAAACCTTGTGTTGATTGCATTTCGTGTGAGATCAAAAGTGAAGACCAGTGTCAGGCAAGGTTGCTTATTCTCACCCTTTCTCCTTCTCCTGGTGATCGACTGGATTATGAAGACGTCAATATCTGAGTGGAAGTAAAGAATACAGTGAACTGCTGAGAAGCTATTGGACAATCTGGACTTCTCAGATGATCTGACTCTTTTAGTGCACGCGCAACAACAAATACAAGAGAAGACGACCACTATAGCAGCAGCAGCAGGTCTCAACATACACAAAAGAAAAATCGCGATTCTCCGATACAACACAAAAGCTTGCCAACCAAATCATTCTCGATAGAGATGCTTTAGAGGACAAAAAAACATATATATATATATATATATATATATATATATATATATATATATATATATATATATATATATATATATATGGGCAGCATCATTGACGAGCACGGTGGATCTGACGCAGATGTGAAGGAGCGGATCAGCAAAGCAAGGGCAGCATTTCTGCAATCGAAGAACATCTCCAACTCGAAACAACTATCAGCCGATTCCAAAATCAGAATTTTCAATACAAATGTCAACACGGTTCTACCTGTATGGGGTGGAAACTTGGAGAACCACGAAAGCCTCATCCACAAGATACAAGTGTTTGCTAACAGTTGTTTACACAAAATACTCCAGATTCGTTGGCCGGACACCATCAACAACAGCCTACTGAGTGGGGAGAACTAACCAGATTCCAGTGCAGGAGTAAATCAGAAAGAATCGCTGGAAGTGGATGTGACACACATTGAGGAAGTCAACAGAGTGCGTCGCAAGACAAGCCCTCACTTGGAACCCTCTAGTTCAAAGGAAAAGAGGAAAGCCTTGGTACACATTACGCTGAGACACTGAACAGACATGAAGAGGATGAAGAACAGTTGGACAGAACTGGAAAGGAAGGCTCAGGAGAGAGCAGGGTAGAGAAATGTGGTCGGCGGCCTATGCTCCATTGGGGGTAAGAAGCGTAATCATGTATTAAATAAATAGATTTTCACTGGAATATGATTAATTCCTTAAACGAGAACTTTCTGTTTCTTTCTGACATCAATATCCTTTTAATCTCGTAACCGGGCCTGACCTTAATTTCATTAGGGAAACATCAGGAGCATATATTTTTAACACCGATCAGTTTTCCTCAATAAGCTTGTTAGTCCTAATTCTTCCCACGATTTTTCAGTCAGAATAACTACTTCAGTTTCATCCTAAATCTCTGAAAATAAAATTTTTATATTTCTAGCACCTCATTCATTTAATTCAGCCAGTACAGTTTTGGAAGTTTTCTGGTATTGACCCATGTAAACTAATGTTAGATGAGTTCTTAATTTTAATCCAGTCAAAAAAATATTTACATAAAGAATTTTTCTTGATTGCTTTACAAAATAGAATGAAGTGGACCTAATGGTTGCAGTACTACACACATCAGCTCAGTTTTCTTTGGTGGCTCGTACCTGGTCGATTTAGTAGATATTATTGTCTTCATTTGTACTTGAGGTCACGTCTTTTGACGTTTTCCATTGACCTCCGATCAAGTTTTCATTGATCATTTCCAGATAACTTGGTAGATCGGGTTCACCCGTATATGTCTATTGATTTCTGATAGACCTATATACTACTATATTTTTAGATATCTTCTGATATTCTCAGCGTACCCTTGACCTAGGCATTCTACGGTTTCTTAGTTGAATTCACAATTTACAACAACCTATTCTGTAGGTGCCACTTTACTATTTCGTCTTCTAGTTTGTCGAAAATGAAGTGAATCATTTGCGTTGATGTATGCGCGACATTGAATTCAAATGGTTTCACATATTCTTGAGACTATTCATCTGTTGTTTTCAGAGGTTCTTTTTGTAATGGTTGATCAATTAATTCACTAGACACAATGAAAGCTTGGCAATTCAATCTCATCAAGCTCAGAAGAACAACTAACAATGTCAAAAAACATTTGTCATTCCAACAATTTATAGCACCTCATGTTCATCAGAGTTCGTCCAAGTGTTTAATTTTGATTAAACCGTTTTATTAACTTATTTGACAGAGCATCATTCATTTGTACAGCAAACACTTACCTATACCATTGTAGATTTATTGTTGTTGTGCTTATATGAGCATGTATATGCTTGAGAGCATTGCTTACCTCCTGCAGCCATATTCATTCTGCAACATTCAATGTTAAATCCCTTAAATAATTCAACAATTCATTCATTTTCCTAATCTATGTATGTATGTATATATGTACATGTATACATGCATAACTCAATTATGATCACTCCTCTTACTTACGATATCTGTCAATTAGTTTGCTTACCTTTTTAAATACTACTGTTACTGGTTTGAAATCTTCATCATCTATCTCTATTGGAATGGATTTTGAATTTCTTCTTGGTAACTTTAAATATTCACTTGTTATCCAATCTTCTGGTTCATCATCATCATCATGTTCAATGTTACAATACTTTAAATGAATAAATAAATGAACATTGAAGAAAGTACAATTAATCCATTGTGGAGTTTATGAGTGAAAAAATGAAATCGATAAACTTATACATCTCATTCTATAATTAAGTACTTTATATAATCTGTGTAATGAGATTTTAAAAAACTTAGTTGCCATTGGACATTGTGACAAAAGCGGGGGTTGTTTATTGAATACGTACACCCAGTCTTTATATAATTATTCGTACATGTTGTGCATTCGATAATCCAAGCTGGTTATAGACTATCTTCTCTCACTCACCTACTGATCTCCCAACTTTAATCTTCGTCTGTTGATCGCAGCAATTTTGCTGGCGAAACCGCGCCACATACTACTTGTGAGTAGCGTTCACCACAGTAATTCTGAGTTTCATCGTGCGGCCTGTTGGGGAGGTTAGATCCCCAGAAATCGCCTAAAAAAGGTCCTAATTTCGGATTTTTCAGTTTTCGTGCATAGTCTGACCAGTCGAGCTTGAGATTATATTTTCGAAACGGGAAATCCTTGACTGTTATTGGTTGATGCATTATTTTAGTACGCTATTTTTGTGGCTCTCCCAAGGACGTCTCTATCATGTATAAATTAACTCAGTTTGTGTGCCTGTGAACACCGATTTTCTGAGTGCTTGTAGAGTACACTTTCTACACCTTATCAAGACTTCTTGATGTACTTGGCACGGCCAGGGACAATCAAATCAGAAAGGCTTATCGTTTCACTGAATCGTTTGTCTTCGCTCTCGTTAACCGACTTAGGTGAACTCGTAATGGTTCAAACATATCAGTTGACGAGTACATCAGACGTATGATATTAAATTGACTCTTCAATTACTATAGTCTATAAAACATTTACACATTTTGCACATACTACAGAGAATCAATTTACAAAATAACATTACTTTAATGTAAAGAACATACTTTTTCTGAACGTTGTTTGTTAAAATTTACTAAATTCTCTTGTGCTGAATTTAAATGTTGTATGTTTTTATTTCCTTCAATAAACCATTGATGCTTTAACAAATGTGGTGTA